AATGACAATGACGTTGGGCAGTAGTTTCCAGTTGGGTCTTTTTAAAAGAGCTGTCGTATCTATTTGGACAAAATGAAATAAATAGCACCAAAAACTCCTTTCCAACTATATTGTAGCTAGTATAGTGCCCTATTGATCCATACATCATGTATTCCTCTCCCTCATCAGGAAAGATTCAAGATTTGTTTGAACTGCTATGTGCAAAGTTTACCCAGTCTACTTGGCTTGCTTTGTAATTAATTTCTGCTGTCGCAATTGCACCGGCGTCACTGGAGCACATAGCAGAGCCAAACCAGAAAGGTGTTTTTGTCCCATCAGCAAACTTAGCATTGTTTTTAACTCTCCAAATTTTCTAGTCCCGATGCACACGATTACATAGTGTCACAGGTTGGTTGCACAGATTCACAGCTTGGTTTGCTTAGATATCTGATCATATTGATATCAAAAGGGATCTGTCTAATGACCAAGTTTTTGTCAGGGATAACAAGCGTTCACTTCTGTGCTGTTTCCCAAGAAACTCTGGGACCTCACAATTTGTAAAAACACAGATGTGCTAAGATTCGTACTAAGCTTTACTAAATGTACAGTCAACCTAGACCAAAGAGAGCCCTGGTTACTCTGTTTTTGTGCAGTCCAACTGCAGGAGTGAGTCTGAACTTCTAACTTCCCCATGTAAGAGCACTCATTCCTGGGGCAGATGCTTGTGTGAGGTGCCAGGCAGGATGGTATCAGAGAAATGACACACTAAAGGTCATCACAGATTTTAACTGAATCACGGGGGAACTTCCCTTATTCAGGAGAATTTAAAATAACAGCACAGATGTAACAGGAACAAAGTTTATGGGAGAAGAGTAGATGCCTGACAAGGTTATGGTTAATTTATTAGTTGAATATTGGAATAATTTCAGTATTTTGGGGTTTTTTAAACTAAAAAGTCTGAATACAACTTAAAAGTCTGATTCAATTATGTGTTTCAAGAGTAGAAGTTGAGGTCAAGACAGCTAAAACATTATGAAAGCATGGTGTACAGTAATAGCACCCTGCTAATTCGAAGTGCAGGTGAAAGCCCAGAACCTTATCTGGGGCAGTTGCTCTATTTGTTGGATTTCCAGTCCTGTAACTGGCGGTGTTTTGATGCAACTAGGAATGTGAGCGTTGGCAAGATTTATTTTTCAAAGTGGTCATGGAGTTTGCAATAAATAATACTGTTTGGGGATCATTTTTTTTTTTTTAGAACTGTTTTTTAAAACAAAACAAAAAACAAAACAAACCAAACCACAACAAAAACAACCAAAAAAAAGCGGGGAAGCGCGAACAACTCTTCCTCCAGCAGCAGGGATTTTCGCAAAAGTCCAGTCACAGCAGCCCTTGGGAAACACATCTCGTACACACACGTGCTTGCGTGCCGTTGCCAAGGTGGATCTTGTCATTTTGTTGTGGTTTCTTAATTGCTTAGGCGCCTCTTGGCGAATCCCCCGAGGGAAGGGCTCGGCCCGGCCCCACCGCCTCGCTCCGCCTCACAGCTTCTCCCCGCACCCGGCCCTTGCACCCGCCGCGGCGCGCACCAACGCCCCCCGGCCCGGAGGGGGAGCTGGCGGCCGGCGGCACGGGTAGGTTGGGGGGCCGAGCAGGCGGACCCCCCCCTCCGGAGCACAGAGGGTGGCGGCGTCCTTCCTCGAGCGCAACGGCGCTCCGCCCCGGCGCTGCCCGGCAGGGGCGGTGTGTGTGTGGGGGGGCCGCGGCCGGCCCGGGGCGGCGGTGAGGGCCGCCGGTAAGGGCCGCCGGCAAGGGCCGCCGGTAAGGGCCGCCGGTAAGGGCCGCCGGCAAGGGCTGCCGGTAAGGGCTGCCGGTAAGGGCCGTGGGGCGACTGCAGCCCCGGCAGCGGGGCTCCAGCGCCCGGGCTGTCCCGGGGCAGCCCCGCAGGCCCGGCGGCAGCGTAGGGCAGGCCGCCTCTCCCCGCAGCGCCCGGCGCCGCCATCCCCAGAGGGAGAAGCGAGTGGGAGAAACCCTGGCAGTAAAAAAGAGCCTTGAGGTTACCGCTGAGGGGAAGGGGTTTAGGAGTCGCCCCATCTGCTCCTGTGTGGGTTAGGGAGGGAGAGGCTTCTTGTTTTTCACGGCCTTTCAGCCTAGTGTTTCAAGAAAACCTTTGCTTATACAAAGAAGTTTTTTGGTTGGTTGACTAGTTGTTTTGGGGTTTTCTGTGTTTTTTTTTTTTTTTTTGTTTGTTTCGTTTTGTTTTGCTTTGTTTTTTTCCTGTATGACTGTACTATGATTTGACATGGACCGTTTCTGATAAATAAAGCAGAGTTGGGGAATGGCCTCGGGGCTGACTTCCCATCCTGTCTTTCTACTAATCTTCCCTCCCCTCCAGCTTAGATAACTGAAGTTGGGGACGGTAGAAGCTTTGCAATTCCTTGAAGCTCTGTATCAGTCGCAGCTGATGTTAGAGAGCAGATATGGTCATGTATACCCATAAAAACAGTAAGACAAAAATTACAGGATATGGCTGTCAAGGATTTACTGTTTGTTGGTGTATGAGGAACCATGCCCGTGCTCACAGAGCTGCTTTTCATGAATTCCTGTTAATGAGAATTAGTACTGGGTGGCCAGGCTGCCTGCTGTACCAGATACAACATAAATGCTATGGGGTTGTTTATTGTTTATCTCTTTTCCTGAATTGTATAATGGTAGAGGCTACTGATAAAAAGGTGATAACTGAAGAAATAGGAAAAATACACGTATTGGTATATAAACAGAGGAATTAGTGGCATTGATGGGTATGTGTGTGTGGAAATCCTTTACTATGCTGTGTAGTGAATGAATGTCATAATACTATTTGAATTCATTAAAGCTGGAGCCATCCTTCAAGCTGAGTGTTGATGATACACTAGTTAACTTCCCCTTTAAGTGAAATTACACGTAAACTGGAAACATACTTTTTATTTGCTATTCATATGGATCTATATTGTATGACACAAATACTGTATTTGTATAGTGCTGTTAGTTGATAATTGCAAAACTGTACTGTCTGTGGACAGTTCCACTTGAAACTGAGAACATGCAAAAAAGTTATTCCAATTTTTCTTCAGTTCCATTGGTAAGCATAGTGGCTAAAAGGGTAGTGTGTCTCTGGTGTTAGGAAGAGATGATTAAAACTCCCTTACATATTTAAACCTGGTGGTCATGAGGCAGTTCTGTTTGGTGGGCATCCTGTGGTGGTACCTGACAGATACCTGATGTGTTCATTTTTCCCAAATGTTTTAGGGAGTGAGAAAAAGGTTACCTCAGAGATCTAGTTCAGAAGCTTCCTTGGAGCATGAGCATAAAGTCCTTGTTCTCTCTTACTCACGCTCTCTTCAGGTGCTCTTCCAGTGGCTTTCTCATGGGCTTAGTCTCAGACATGTTGAACACTTCAAATACAGAGCCTGCCAGAGCAGCTGAGAGGTCCACTCAGTCTTTGGAAAAAAGATGGGAAAAAATGTGAATGCCTCCAGGCCTCCTACCTTGCATTGTCTGTCTGTAAAGCAATATGGCCTGATTTAGTTCCCCAGTCTCCTCTCTAGTTCCCACTCTGCTATTTGAAGCCTGCTATCTTTATTGCTATTGCTTGTACTTGGATAACAGTAACTTTTGTTACAGGAGTCTATCTGCATCCATAATACAAGTGTTTTCAGAAGAGAGATTTGTAAATCCCCTTGCACAGATAATGTACACAAGAAGCACCCCCTTTACATTGTGGTGCTACTGGTATTGCTGGTTGAACTGTTGTGCTAACAGGGAGTTGTTAGCAGTTTAGTGCGTTTTGACTTGGAAGCAGAAGTGGGGAGATACTTTCTTGTTTGTTCTCTGTGTTTTCACAACCAATATCATCCTGAGATAGGTGCTTGCTGTGTACAACACAAGCTCTAGGTGTCATGAGAACAGCTGTCCAGTAACTGTCCATTAAATTTTAGTCACAGGTGTATTTAAGTTCCCTTCTTCTGTGTACCCTGTTACTACTCTAACATGCAAATCTGATTAAGCTTAAGGAAAACAGTGTAGAAGAACTTGGAAAGTTCTTCTTGTAACTTGGAAACTTTATTGCAGTAGCAAGTTTCTGCTTTGTAAATGAGGCAGGTGTCCCTCTAGTCAGCCAGATCACTGACAGTGTGTATGTATTTTTACCATTGAATTGGTGTGCTAAGACTGTATGAAGAGATGCTGGATTTGCGTCCAAATCAGATTGATTTAGCATTTGTAGGACGCAGGAGTATTACAAACTTTGATTTTATTTTTTTATTTCTTTACATTATTTCTTCATCTCTCTTCAGCAACTCCCTAACACAACAAATTCATGTTTGATTTGAAGATTTTCTTAACTAAACAATGGAAAAAAATCTTTCTGAACTTTGAAGGCCATTTTCTCCTTTAGGAGAATGATGGCTTCCTTGGGACCTTGAGGTTTTTTTTTTTTTTTTTTCCCCTCAACTGAGTAATCTGCTTGACATTCAGCACATTTCTTCCATATACAGGGTCTTTTCTCTAGTTCTTTCCAGCTGAGCTTCATATTATTCCAGCTTGGTGTTCTCTGCTTGGCACAGAGTTCAGTAATCCAAGCTGTGATACACAGCGTGCAGTGTATCTGTACAGGGCAGAGCACTATCATCTCATCTATATTAAGATGACATTTGTCTCTTGGGAAAATGTATTCACCAAATCATCTTAATAGCAGTATGTCTTGTGTGTTAGCAAAAATGGCTTTGTCAAAGAAGTCACATGCAGTAATTAGGAACCCTACAAGTCTTTTAACTCCTGACACCACAAACACTAGTTCACTTGCTGTATATTCTAAAAAGGAATATTTTGTGTTCAGCTGGAGAAGGGATTTGAGCTCTAGGTCCCTGTTAGGTGCTGTTGTCATTTCAGTAAAATCATACACATATCTTCTGGTCAAATTACTGTAAAACATCCTGAAATCATTTATGTTGTTTTTTTGTTTTTGTTTTTTTTTTTTCCCAAGCATAAGAGTTTCAGTTTGGTTTAGGTAATCTGGTACTTTATTCTAGTGAAAAACTGCTTTCTTTTGACAATGCTGCTTGTTCTGTTTCAATATGGCTTCATAAAATAAATTTACATTTGGTCCATGGATCCATCAGTGCTGCATCTAACACTAAGGATGTTGGTGCTTGTCTCCCACAAGAAGCCGCTGTTTGTCTGAGGACCAGGACCTCTGTAAAGAGACAGTAAGAGTTGCTTCTACCGGGTTAGCAGCTCTCAGTTTTGGGGAGCAAATCCTGGAAAGGAGAATGAGATGTGGCCTCCTCCATGTGAGCCACCAGGGCTCAGGAAGCCGCACTGGTGGGTTGTCTGGAGCATGCTGGGCTGGGTGGGCTCTGACCTGTGCCTGTCTTGGAGAGGGGAGGAGTGTCACCCGTGTCGGGGAAAGGGAGTTTGAACTGGGCAATGCTGGCTCAGCGTGGGGCATTTCATGGCTGCCTGCTGAAGAAGTAACAGCTTGTGTTCCTCCTTTCTCCTCCAACCCTGCATGGCACCGTTCTCCTTCATCACGATGTTCTGTGTGATGAGGGCTTGAAAGGGAAGAGGAAAAAAGGTTGCTGGGCAAGTATGTCTGACCCAGGGCAGGGAAGAAGCTTAAGAATGGTTGTACTGAGCTAAATTATGTAGCAAAATAGAAGATCCTTTCTGTTTGGTCAAAGTATCACCTTCTTTTTTTGATTTTTAGACTGGCAAAAAGAGTAAATTTTGCTATTCTGTGCTGTTAAAATATCCAGAACAATTTGTCAGCACCAGATCCATGCCTAGCTTTCTATGCTAAAGCTGCTAAATTCCTCACAGTTCTCTTGTATTATTCTTCCCCAGACAGGAAGACTAATTGTTTGTTTGTTTGTTTGAAATCTTTCCTGTGATTAGATTTGTCTTGGCTTAGCCCTCTTCTGAACATTTAACCTGACTTCTAAGCCTCCAAATATTGTCAAAAACGCGTGTTGTAGCAACCAGAGCAGGTAAGGTAAATCCAAGCACCGTGATAGATATACTTTGTGTAAGTTTTATGTGGAATTTAAGCATATTTTTGTGTAGGTTTTATGTGGAATTTAAGCATATTTTTGGAGTCAACTAACACTGGGGCTTTTTGTTTTTCTTGAAGCCCTATTCCACCTCTGGGGAAGATAATTTTTATTTTATTGTTTATGTAAGATGTGTACAAAATTTAAGAAATGCATGTGGACTTATGGAGAGTTGGATAAGATATTCAAAGACTGTCAGAATGGATTTCCTGCATTTGAAATTGTGCTCTTTAGTTAGTACATTAAATACATTAAAAACTTAGGTGATCTCTATTATCCCTTTTTAGGAACAGTTACACAGTTTAGTGGACAAGCATGTGGAAATCACTGCAACTTTTTTCAAGATGGTTCTTCTTTGGAAGAGAAGATGTCTGCTTTGAAATTTCTGTAGTATCTCTTTGTTAAAGGAGAATTCCTAGTAAGAGATACTATTCTGTCTGCAATAATAATGCTTCTTATTGGACATAGAGAATCAAATCTCTGCATATAGTCTGTTTAGGATTATCTATTGTAAAGCACTGGCCTCTTTGAAACAAGTAACCAGTCTTGCACTATCTGCATTAGTGAAAATAAATAAGGTAAGAAAACTATTATAAATACTTCTCTGCTATACGTAAGATTAGAGACATACAGAAGTTTAGGTGATATATGTATAGATGTATTTGCAGGATTAGAGGCTAAAAGAGAAAATACTTTCTTCTGAAAATCTGGAAATTAAGGAAAAAGTGTATTCTAGTGAAATAAAATTTCATAATTCAGTACCAACTTTATTTTTTGCAGAGGCAGCAGGATTTTGACTTGCACTTACACAACCAGCAACTGGAAAAATGCCAGGTTCTAAAAGTAACTTGATGTCTTTACATGAGGATGTTATAAATGATACTTCAGACTTGAGTGAAATGAAAATTTCAGATGAAAAAGGATCTGTAGAAAAAAGAACAATGACTCTGATTGAGAAGAATGGCTATTCCGACTCTGTATACATAAACGCAGCTAAGATTTTTCAAGGCATTCATACTGAAAAGTGTAAGGAAAGAATATTGGTGCGGTATGGTGATGACTCAGTATTTCCCATGCTGACTTTTAAAGATGAGTATTCTCAGTATGTATCTTATGAACTGGCTTTCAGTGCTCTAAAATGTAAGTATAAAACTTTTCCAAGAATTGCCGATAGAATTGATGCAGCAGAGAAAATGTGGAAAAACAGTATTTAGTTTTTGCCTGACAGCAGAGATCTGGGGAATTTTTTGTTAAACTACACGTTACTACTAGGCTACTCATAGCCCTCAAATATCTAAATATATGTAAGTGTTGTTAGCTTTTTGTGAAGTCAAATATTTAATCTGTGCTTATTCATGTAAAGGAATTATACGTATTTAGAGTTGCTACTGTTTGTGATTGAATTTGCCCTTAATTTTCATGATGTTTAAACATTCAGCTCTTTCTTTTGTGATTTACAAGTTTTTCTTTTTCTTCCTTAGAATCTTGTAGATTTCATAGTGTAACTTGTCAATATTTTATTTTTTTGTAGATCAAGATCTTCTTGAAGAAATATTATTAGATAGTTGTGTTTACCCATGCCAGTCCATAGTAAGTGAACACTTTTGTGAGTGAATAAATTTTGTATTTTCTGAGTTGGTGTAATTAGAATATTTTCTGAGGATTCTGCAACATTCTTCAAAACAATTTGTTGTTTTGAACTGTATGGTAGCCTGAGACTGAAATAATGCTGTCCTTTTTAGTTAGTTGTCTAAAGTATCAATCTCCAAGATATTAGATACGTTGTTTGTGAGATTCTTATTGCACCTTATTGCTTGGAGTCAAAGCCTCCAAAGAAAGAATTAAAATAGATTCATTTCATTGAAATGAAACAACCCATGCTTAATTTCCTGGACAAATTGTATTGCATACAAATATCTTACTTGCAGGGGCAAAAAATTATCCAGTTTACTCTAAACATGCTTTCCTGCTTTGACATGAAAAGACAATCTAGAACCTGGCAGTAATCTGCTGTTTCTTCCAGTTTGGTCTTTGATGCCTTTGAAAATAATGAGATGAATTTGAACTGATGTTATTTGTAGAGATTGATGTGAGCAGGCAAATCTGGCTTGTTTTTGTAAGGAAGTAAGACTTAATGTGGTAACATTTTGTATTTGGTGGTATTTCCCTAATAACTGAAGTTTTCTAGCTACTTTTGGTCATATTTGTGAGAAGGTAAGAATATTTGAAGGCATAAGAACTGTAGGGATTTCATGAAAAGAGGTAGACAAGAATAACTGAAGTGCTGTTAATTGCTGTCTCTAAGGAGGAGGTGCTTCCTGGTTTAAAAATTTAGACACGGGAAGGAGATTTTACAATTGTCCCATCTCCAGGATGGTTATTATATACTGAGCTTATTAGTTATATACTGAAGAATCCCACAAAAGACTAATTAATTGATAGACAAGAAGTTTTTAGTAGCTTAGCTATTCAAGGAACTACTTTGCGGAGAAAGTGATTTGAGTTTAAATTCTGATAACATTAATTATTAAGATATGCTCTATTATCTGTGTGTATGGGGAATGTTTTTAATTTTGATAAGCTAAATAACTTTTAAGTGGTGTATTTTGAGTTTCTAAAAAATTCTTTAGTGTTTTACTAACTCTCCATGAGGAATTACTTTCATATTCTTGCAAATAAGCATTTAATTGAAGTTTTTAATGCCTCTTAGGAGACTGCTGTTTGATATGGCTCTTTTAGCAGAAGTAAGGCATGCTTTATGTCACTGTTGTAGTTTGAGCCTGGAGGGCAACTGAGCAGCAAGCAGCTGCTCACTCACCCTTTTCCCCTCAGGAATGGGAAGGAGAGTATAAAGCAAAAGGCTCGTGAATCCAGATAAGGATAGGGAGGGATGACTCACCCATTATGGTCAGGGGCAAAAGACAGACTTTTCAGGGGAACAAAAAGAACATCTGTTTAATTCAAACACTAACAACAACACTTAACAGAGTGGGACAGTGAGAAGCATTACCACACCTTGGAAAGACCTTCCCCGCCCCCTCTCCTTTCTTCCCCAGGCTCAGCTTTCCTCTGGATACCTCTACCTCCTCCCTGCCAGCAGTGCAGAGGGCAGGGAATGGGGAGGGGGGGGTGGTGATCAGTCCTGCAGCTTCCCCCCCCTCAGGGAGAGGACTCCTTGCATTTTTCCCCTGTTCTAGTGTGGAGTCCCTCTCATGGGAGACAGTCCTCCACAAACTTTTTTTGATGTGAGTCCTTCCCATGGGCTGCAGCCCCTCCCGAGCTGCTGGGGCACCGGTCCCTCCCATGCACTGCAATCCTCCCAGTGCCAAACTACAACAGTGGGGGCTTCTCAGCGTCCCGGCCTTCTTCAGGCACAGCAACATGCTCCAGCGTGAGGTCTTCCACAGGCTGAAGGTTGGCATCTGCTCCACTGGTGACCTCCATGGGCTGCAGGGGACAGCCTGCTCTCTCACCATGGGTCTCTGCTCTGGCACCCCCCCCCCCCCCATCCTCCTTTTTTCCACTGATCTCAGTGCTTGCATAGCTGTCTTCCTCACAGCTCTTCCTAAAAATTCTCTCTCCTCCTCCTAGGTTCCCCTTCTTAAATATATTTTCACAGAGACACAGCCACTGTCACTAATTGGCTCGGCCTTGGCCAGAGGCAGATCTGACTTAGAGCCCGGGGGGAGCTTTGAGAAGCTTCTCACAGGGGGTCACCACTGTAGCCCCCTCTCCTGCTACCAAAAACCCCACCGCACACACAAACCCAACACAGTCACTTTCTCTATCCAGTTGCTTTTCTGTTGCAGCCAGATGAATTAACCAGCTTGCTTGTTGTGATGTTTTATGATCTACAAGACCGAAAGTTTCAAGCACGAGACATATTTGGCGAAGAGGAACCTGTAGCAGAAGTTCGGAAAATAGAGCGTTATCTACACAGGTATATATGTTAAGAACTCTTTTTAGAGTCATAGAATCATTTAGGTTGGAAAATACCTTTAAGATCATTGAGTCCAACTGTAAACCTAACATTGCCAAGTTCACCACTAAACCATGTCTCGAAGTGCCACATCTGCATGTCTTTTAAATACCGCCAGGGATGGTGACTCCACCACTTTCCTGGGCGGCCTGTTCCAGTGCTTGATAACCCTTTCGGTGAGGAAATATTTCCTAATACCCAATCTGAACCTCCCCTGGTGCAATTTGAGGCCATTTCCTCTTGTCCTGTCACTTGTTACTTGGGAGAAGAGACTGAGACACCCACCTCACTCCAACCTCCTTTCCGGTAGTTGGGAGAGAGCAATAAGATCTCCTCTCAGTCTCCTTTTATCCAGGCTAAAGAACCCCAGTTCCCTCAGCTGCTCCTCACCGGACTTGTGCTCTGGACCCTTCACCAGCTTCGCTGCCCTTCTTTGGGCACACTCCAGCACCTCAGTGTCTTTCCTGTAGCGAGGGGCCCAAAACTGGACACAGGATTTGAGGTGCGGTCTCACCAGTGCCGAGTACAGAGGGACAATCCCGTCCCCGGTCCTGCTGGCCACACGATTTCTGACACAAGCCAGGATGCTCTTGGCCTTCTTGGCCACCTGGGCACACTGCTGGCTCACATTCAGCCGGCTGTCGACCAACACCCCCAGGTCCTTTTCCACCGGGCAGCTTTCCAGCCACTCTGCCCCAAGCCTCTAGCGTTGCGTGGGGCCCAAGTGCAGGACCCAGCACAGCCTTGTGGAACCTCATACAGTTGGCCTTGGCCCATCGATCCAGCCTGTCCAGCTCCCTCTGTAGAGCCTTCCTACACTCAAGCAGATCAACACTCCCACCCAGCTTGGTGTTGTCTGCAAACTTACTGAGGATGCATTCAATCACCTTGTCTAGATCATTGATAAAGATATGAAACTGAACTGGCCCCAGTACTGAGCCCTGGGGAACACCACTTGTGACTGGCCACCAACTGGATTTAACTCCCTTCACCACCACTCTTTGGGCCTGGCCATCCAGCCAGTTTTTAACGTGGTGAAGCGTACGCTCATCCAAGCCACGAGCAGCCAGGTTCTTGAGGAGAAGGCTGTGGGAAATGGTGTCAAAGGCTTTACTAAAGTCTAGGTAGACAACATCCACAGCCTTTCTGTCATCTAATGAGTGGGTCACCATGCTGTAGATGATGAGGTTAGTCAAGCACTAACCTGTCACAAACCCATGGTGACGGGGCCTGATCACCTGGTTGTCCTGCATGTGCCGTGTGATGTCAGACTGACAGGCCTGTAGTTTCCTGGATCCTCCTTCTGGCCCTTCTTGTGGACGGGCATTGATAGGTATTAGCAGAAATACAGATTTGTATAGCCAGTGCTGCCTTTTTATAATTGTCAATACCACAGATGTATTTCAGCTTCAAATTTTGTTGACTTTGTTTTTATTTCTCATGAGAACCTGGTTTGAAGGGAAACTTCCATATTTCTATAGTTAAGAAAAATACAGCTAACAGACTATATTGTGGATTATTTTGCTAGAAAAAATGTATCTTATTTTGGAGCTGTTGGAACTTTCATACAATTTTAGAAAAAAAAATAAATAGTAAGCATTCATAAATATGAGTGTAATAGAGCCAAAAGTTCATGGAATGGAATAACATTGATTTATTTAGCAATACTTCTCGTATGGAACTTTGTTAAATATTATTTTAAGTGATTAGAACAAAAAAGAAAGGTTTTGTAAAATAAACATTTGAAGTACAGCTCAAGTATTTCTTTTGTCAGTCTGTTGTTGAACAGGCATTTGTTGGACAAATTTGTGTTGTTGCTGGATTTAGACTAGCCCCCAAAATTTTGTGAATATTGTAAGAGCAAGGTATTCCTGGAGGGCATCTGAAGTAGCTCACCAGCAATTTTTATTTGTTTTGAAGCATCACGTATCAAGATTATGTATAAAGCTTGTGGGAAGAAAAGACTGGGAATATTTTCTCTGACATTTTTGTGTAACAATAATAAAACTGACTCCTGGTTGCCATCATACTTGTGTTGCTTCTGTACGCATTTAGAGGTCAGCGTTCATCACCTGCTCATTCTGCACATATAGGCATTTGTATCTTCAAACGTACAAAAAAATCTGATGATTGTATTCCACAGATTGCAGTTCTGAAACATTTGGGGTTTTTTTTTAGCTTTGTGAGAAAATGGATGTATTTGGGAGCTGTCTGTCATAATACTAGTCCCTTGAGCATTTAAGTAAAATATTCTCAGCTGTGTATTACGACCTTGAGTTTACTGTTGTTTGGGGTAGAAAATGTCCTATAACTGTGTATTTTCTGTAACAGCATGCAAAATGAGGCCACATTTAGTTTTGGTTTCTGATCAAGATAGTATTGTAATAGAAATGTTGCATGCTAATGGCCAGTGTAAACATTTAGAAAACTTATTAAACTTGTGACTATGCTTTTGTAGTTTTAAGACCAAACTGGCAGCTACACTAGCAAGGTGGCGCATCAAACATAATGCTCTTTCAATTGAATACATTCTGCCAGAAACCATACGGAAGCAGGAACAAAGGGCTTCTGCTTTACCTTTATGTGTTTGGATAAACACATTTAAAATCAGGTAAGGTCTTTAAAGTATCATCTAATATTGAGGTTTTTACATATGAAGTGATATAGTTTATTACACTCTTCTTTTAGAATTTCCAGGTTATATTAAGCTTCTTATAGTACATTCTGCTTAGTCCAGTGACATTGCATTATGTTTATAGTTTTTATATATTGTAGTAATGGTATTCATAAACTGTAAGAAAGCTGTGAAACAGTTTTCCTTACTATTCTGTTGTTTGTGTGGGTCTTTCACCGAATAAGTGAGTTAGAAAAGTTAGAAAAAAGTATATGGGTGAGTAAACTGTGACGAAAAATAGAGGAAACTTCGTTAAAAGTGGATGTATTACTGTAAGCCATAACATTGGCAAAGGGTGTTAAGACAGCTACAGTGCTTAATACCTGTGTTTATTCTGTAAGGATAGGGTAAACTTGAAATAACAATATACTTTTAAAAATACTTATATTCAGCAGGCTACTATATGTGTAACATTTGTGTTCCCAGTTCTGTACTAACTGATACATGAGCCACACCAGGTTATCCTGTTACCGGTTTTGTTAGACAGGTAATCCATTTTATTATGTTTTCAAGAATTTTTTTTTCATACTCTTGTCTTGGACCAATGTTCTGTGCTTAGGTTGCAGGCTCTTCAAGATAGAGAAAGGCGTCTTACTGTGGTTGTGATTTTGCAACCCTTAAACAAGACTGAAGTAAAAGCTGCTACGTTGATCCTATGTTTAATGTACTGTATGAGCTTATGGCACTATCTGAAACTCCATTTTAGCAAACAAATCCTGGTGTATATACTTTTGAATCTTTATGATATTTGAATTGCAAACCTCAGCATTTATGTCTTCATTACATTTGCACAAGGATTATTTCACTTACCAGCCATTAAAATCGTTGGTGAGCTGGGCTAAATGGAAAGCAATTGACAGAACGAAACTATTGCAGCAGTAAATTTGTTACAGTGTCTCTTGCACCCAGACATTTATGTTTTGATGCTTTGAATCATCCTCTGGAGACACATATCTCTTAATTTATTTTATCAGACTTATTAACTGTTTCAAGCCAGAACTTACATGCTTAAAACAGTGAATTCCCCTCCTGCATTAGGCAGTATTGCATTTTTATATATATATATATACTAAAAAAAATAAAAGGCAAAAAACCATATAATCAGTGTGAACTATATTGCTTAACTAACTGTTGTATATTTAGTGGTCAGAGTTGTGTGTTCACAGCCTTCAAGACGTTTTCAGCGATTTGAAGAAGAAGGGATTCTCAAGAGTTGAATCTGTGTCAGACTTCGACTGTTATACGTACTGTATGGACCAACATTGCCATGATGTCTTGTTTTTTCCTCCTGCTCTTAAAGAACAGCTGCTTAATTCAGATCTTTTTGCAGATTGCAAACTCTTACTGCAGGTGAGTTGATGTCACCCTGGAATAATATGATCTGCAAACTAAAATCATGTGTGAATGATGTATTGTGTGACTGTGTTATTAAATCAGACAGCAACAGTCTCAAAAGGTTTTGGATATTTTTAATAATCATAAGGTTGGAAACCAATTCACTTAATTTAGTGTGTAAATGTTAATGCTTATAATTGATAGCTACACTTAAATTAGTAAAATATTTTAAATTTAATCTTAAAATTGTTGAAATAAACATCAGGTGGTCAAAGAGGCAGTCTCACTTCTGAAAATGTGAGGAAAGTTTCTATGTAACTCTACATGTGTTACCCCCAGTGAGTAGATAATGGTATGCTAATACAATAACATCTTTTACTCCTCAGCTGCATATTTGTGATGGAGTGATGACACTTCTTTGTATTTTGTGTAGTGTGGTTCCTAAATCTCCATAAACCACACTGGTCTTTTTCCTGACTTGCCATCATTAGCCTCTCCAGGCAAGATTGGTCGAGGTTCCTGTTGTAGAGTGGTAGTTTGGAGTAACCCTGCAACAGCACACAATCACAAGTTATCTGAAATGCCTGGTGACTCTTGAGTGCTTAGCAGAAACATTTCAGAGGGCATTTTCACTTGATGCTTAACATTTTCTGGAAATTTTAGCCTGAAAATTTATTACCCAACTTACAAAGTAATTCTGAATATCTCATTTCAGTGTGTATATTTTGAACAGAAGACTTACAGAAAAGAACTATACATCTATACATGTCATCCCCGTAGGTCACCAAAACAAATTCGGCGTATTACTGCTTAAGAATATTTAAAGTTAGGCAACAGCACCCCCAAAAACTCCATCTCTGTGTAGTGGGGTAGGGTGGTACTTGAATGGTGTAAGTAGATACATAGACATGCATGTGAACTTAGAGGTTTTGCTGTTGTTTCTTTTTCCTTAACACCAGTATTTGCCAGGTGTGGTGCAAAACTTGGTTCCCGTGGTCCATAGCTTCATCTTTGCCTTTTTAATTAATTTGGTGGAGATAATGTTTGATCTCTCTCTTCAGCCTCTGTAGTATGAGATCATTTACTCTTGTAAATGTGCTTTCTGCATTCAAATCTGCCTCAGTGTTCAGATTTCAGCAAAATCTTAGTTTTTGATCTGTAAGGGCTTCATTTTTCCTATAATTATCTTCAAGAGCTGTGTGAATAGTTCTGCATTTCTCTGCTAAGCTGTCTCTGAGGATGAATTTTGCATATTGTGGTCTATGTTTGTGTTTTCTGGAACTGGCTGTCACTAGGAGTTACTCCTTGTGATACGCACTTAACATTTCTTTTCACCTATAGATACTATGCTTTCTTATGCATTAGTTAGAATGAAATTATTTAAATTTAGTGAATTTAACTTATTAAGATGCTTGGTTTTGTGCTTTATTTAATTCTGTATTAGCAGCTATTGATGCTTAGTTTTTCTCCTTGCCCGTTTCTACTTTGTCATGAAAAAAATGAAAGGCTTTCCTAATTTGGAAAGGAAGGTTGGCACTCATAGAAGCCAAATTAGCTGGTGATACTTAATTTTGTGTCATTGTTTTCTAGGATAAGTCTCGCAGCCTTGCTGTACACTCTGCACAGGCACTGCTCAATACGGGTGATGACATTATAGTGGCTCATGTAGGTTCCCATCTGACCATTGCCCATTTGTCAGCGCTGACAGTTCACACCATGTCCAGAATTTTTGTTTGCGGTGTAAAATCTTCATCAGAAGCAGATGAACTGAGGAACTTATTCAATCACATGGGATGTAAAAGTAGGTGTTAGAACAGTTGGTATGCATGAAGTATTGTAATGTAGATGTTTGTGATAACTATAAATACGACATACTTCTGTCAGGATTCAGAGATCTCATTTGAGGATTTGGGGAGGGCAGTAACAACTTATTTTTTGCCACAAGGTGGACTGACAACTCTTCAGCTACGGTCAAGTTAGTCAAAGGTTGCAGAGTAACTGTCATAGGTGCAGGCTCCTGAAGTGTCAGGGTGAAGTTTTCCATGTAAGTAGTCACTGTACAGTGGTTGGTGTAGCTGGGAACTTTTGTGTCCATTTATTTGGTGTCTTGGCTATTGCTTTCAGTCTGATTTTCACCAGTTTCCGAGAGTGTCAATCCAAAACACACGTACCCGTCTGGTTCACCCAGAGGACACAGTCAGAACAGAATACCACAGGAGTCTGGAACCCCGTTAGCAGACTTTTCAGTGGAAGATGCTAAGGTCTCGTCCTTCAATCTGTTTGAAATCAGTGGGACATACTTTGGAGGATCAGGGTCTAGCAGCCTCTAGCTCCATGGAAGTCTGTGTAACACCAGTCTCTTCACCTTTATCACATTAAAATAAGGCAGGCTTTCTTGCATGTAAAACACTTGAGTTTTTCCTTTTTTTCCAGATATTCAGTTGTTACATGAAGACTTTACTGAGATTGCACCCACAGACCCAAGACTTCAAGAGGCAAAAATTATTTTGCTGCTACCACAATGCTCTGGGCTGGGTGTGGGCAATCCAATAGACTTTATTTTACATGAACACAGAGGTAACTTTTGATACAATAGTTAGCTCATGCTTTCTGGTAGAAATAGTACTCGAGTATCGTGGTCTGCACATTGTAGTTGCTTCAGTAAATTGTATCATTTTATAAAATACCCTTCCTTTTAGATTTTTATTTTAACTACTATAAAACATAAGTATTAAATAGTTTGCATAATTCTGTATGTGTAATGTACATGGAGGTCACTATGGATATACAAAAGAGAATAAATACATTACACAGATGATTTTTCCACACAAAGTGAGGAAGAATGTATCTGGCCTAGTTTAGGATACTCAACAAGAAAGCAAAATCTTTCTAGGTGGCACTGAAGGATTAAGAGTGTTTTGTAAAGGCAATTTCAGGTTGGTAGTATGAGATTTGAGGGTTATTCTGGGGAGCAGAGTGTATATAGCTTTCCTTTTTAAAGTAAAAAAACCCTATAGGTAGAAAATTTATTTCAAGATACCAATGAGTATATGTCATTTTCCCTTGATTACATTCCTTTATTGGTTGATTGTCTGAGTCTATTCACTGTACAGTTTTCATTAAATAGAAACAAATAAGAGGCAGTAGTCATTACGGGTAAAGAGGGAAAGAAGAAACTTTTAGGCAGCCCTTGGTATTGTAATTCATAAAACCTGCTTTCCCACTGCATAGGGATAATCAGGGCTGCTACCAAAGCATTTTCTGCAAACAGCCGAATTTTAAGACACTAATACAGGATGCATTAATAAAGTTACAACTCTTTGCTTTTAGATGCAGGATTGCTAAGAGACCTTTTCCAAGGATCTGTACCTGAGGATAAACTCAGTATTCTTGCTGAGAGGCAGCTTAAGGAGTTGATGCATGCAATGAAGTGTAAGTGTGCAGCTCTGGGATTTCTGGGAACACCTCGTACTATCAATTCCATTGCACTGCCACCAGGCTTTATATAGTTAAAAATAATCTGATTACTCTATTAGTTAACAGTAAGTGTGTAAACAAACCCCCTAAATAATGAGCTCCTCAAGTTTAAAGGTGTATCTGTGTCTTAGTATTCACCAGCCATTAATACAATAGTCTTCAGCATTATATAGTGAACTGGTTTACTGGCTTGGTCACACTTTGCTTTGGAAAAGTTGTAAAGGTAGTCTGACTCCATCTGCATGCGGCCACTTCCTCCCCCCTGCCTTTGGTAGCTGTGTGAAAATACTGGATGCAGCCCTGAATTTCTGCTGAAATCTGCAAATATTTGAAAATATTTTAATTATTAAAACCCAGTAGAGATTGAATACTAATGTGTACAGGAGGATATATTTTATTGATAAAGATGACATCCAAGCAAAATTTTGATGCTGATTTCAGTCCTTACTAAACCACTGTGTATATGAAGAATTTGAACAGTAGAACAACTTTGTTTGTCTGTTTTGTAGTTAACAAAGTACAAGCTATTGTTTACTGCACTTGTTCGGTTTACCCAGAAGAAAATGAACTAGTAGTGAAAAAAGCACTGGAATCTGGAGTGGAAGGAAATAAAGTACAACCATATAGGTATGGAATGAGTAGTTTTGTCTATGGAAAAATACATGTAACTTTAAATTGTAGCATAATTCTTATCCTAGACTGATCTGTCTTGCATTAGATTAACATTTAAAATAGTTTTTTGCTGTCTCTCATTCTACTTGTGTCATGTTAAGAGAGTACTAAGTAGTGTCCTCCTGACCTTTTCATCTCATATTTTTGTTCCCATCTGAAACAGAGAAGGGAGGAAAGCATCACTGGTTGGAACTAACATTGTGGTGAGCTTCTGATAGAGCTGTTGCTTTTATCCGATCAGTGTTCATAGAATGAAGCTAGCTTAAGATAAAAAGGAGACCAGAAGTCAAGGGAACTTGCTAGCCTGCTCTCAGCTTCTCACCTAGAATGATCAGTTTGAGGAGGAAGAAAGCAAGTCTTACAGTGTGAGAGTAAGCAGAACCTCTGCTGTAGGATTGCTTGTCCCTGCACTGAGATGAATGACTTCTGGGGGACAGGTCACAGTGGAAGAACATCCTGTGCAATCATAGCAAATACAAATATATAGGAAAAAAGTATGTGTGTTGTATACTTCATATGTAGTTAAAACCTGTCAGCTGGAGCAGTTGTAGAAAGACTGGTGGGTACTTTCTGGATTTTCCTTGCAGTTACAGGAGATAAATGTAAACAGCCCTTGCTTGCACATAGATATAATAGCTGATTACAGGCTGCAGGTTAAAAGAGTTTATGTTGCCAAAAGCACAGGAGAGAAATGCTTTATTTTTAGATTTTATATTATCTTCGATGATGTTAATGACTTGGCCATTGTGGGGAAAGTTAGTGTGGTTCAAGATAATCATTCAGTGCATTTAAATTTTGCATGATTAAAATGGTGAATGTTAACTGTGGCCAGTCCAAAGAATTTTAAAAAGAGGTATGTTGCTCACAAGATACAATGCAACAAAATGCATCTTTCTTGCAAATCACTGATAGAAAGGCTTGCCAATGATGCTATGCTAGTCCAAAAGCATTTATGGATTCTTGCTGTAAAGTGTGTTTTCCTTTGTGATTTGAAATTTTGTGATGTCTCTCATGTCTTGACCTCTATGTAGCTGTTACTCTATGGGGAAAACTAGGGGGACTTTGGAACATAATGGTCTCTGAATTATTTGAGCACAAATAATGCATAAATTTTATATATATACATATACATATACATATATATATATAAAAAATATATATATATAACTGAATTAAAAAAAAAATCCTGAGATTTTTTCCAGAGCTTTAATTTTTTTCAGAAAAAAATTCCCCCTTGTCTAGAACTCCACCCCCAGCTCCCTGAAGCCACACCAAAATCTATTAATTGTTTCGCAGAAACATCATGAAACTTGGCATACCACCAAATTATACCTTTACTTTAAAATACAAGGCAATCTTGGATGGTAAGAAAGGGGGAATAAAATTACATTAGGATTTTTGCAGACCCGAGCAAATTTGTGACTGAAGACTAGTTGAACTTCATAAATGATGATTTGAGAATCAGTTCCTCCTTCACTGTCATGGACGTATCTTGGATGTTTTCATGCATAGGTCTTGCTACAATAAAGCTGCTGGTAGCCAGTTAAACAGAGCAGTAATAGAACACCATAAATAAAATATATAGTGTGATTATGCTTCTCTTAAGGTGAAAGCTCAAAGCTTTTTATGCTCAAAGCTGTTTATGTATATACTGCTTATGACAGTTCCTTGTACACTTTCCTTAGAATTAATTGGGTAACTTCTTTGACTAAAAGAATGCAGGGTAGAATGAAAAACTGTTGCAGAATTACTAGCCTGTGTTCACAGTAGTGTCTTTGAGAGGCAAGTTATACTGATAACACAACCTGTGTGATCATCACTGCTCTACAATATTAATTGCCTTTTCCAAGAAAGTGGAGGGCTTTCAGGAACCTCTTACGCCAGTTATGCTTATGTGTATTACATCTTTTGGAATTACTCTGCAGTGCTAGAGTGATGCTGAACCAAAATAAGGCTGTGCTGGAGTGTGGGGTCATACAGCTGGTCTTAGGGCTGTGAAATTATAAAGGTGATTCCAAATGTACCCACCGTCTAAGCTGAATTTACCTTAAGGATATGACAGTTTCTAGCAAAGGCTCTACCTTGCATAAGGGTACCCATTGTGAACAGGTGTGTATAGAGGAGACACTAAGCCATTCATGCATTCTCCTTTGGCCTCTCAAGTTTGAGTTAAATTTCTGCATCAATTTTCAAGGTCAGACAGTCCGTTAAAGAGATTCTTGGTAACAGTAATCTTATATACCAAAGAAAATAAAGATTACCACTTTTCTGCATTGAATGACCAGATCTAAAAGCAAAAATCTCCTATGTGTCATAGGACATAGAGTTTTATTTAGTAATGCAAGAAGGATATGAGCCTTGTAGTCTTGTTTTACCAAGTTCTGAGGGACATACAAAAATTCCAGATTACAGTGAAAATTTGGGGACAAGCAGTTTTTTGGACTTCCCATTCAAAATGGACTAGCCAGCCAGATGAGGGGATTATGGAATACAGAGAGAACATGAGAAAAGGCTGGCTCTTCCTTCCTTACTGATGCATTGCAAAACTGTAAATTTGAAAAACCAGCACTCTGTTATTACGAATAGGCCAATTTTTCTAACCTAAGAATTTTAACTTAGATGTATTACTTATTATGAGCATATACTTAACTCAAAGTTAACACCTCTGCAATTTCTGTGTACTGATTAGTGTTTTCAGACTGTTCCCCAGCTTCATGGACAACTTGATAAGCCAGCAATTGCAGACCTGAGAAAGAATTGTTAATTATGTTCATACGTATTTATTATCTGATGGTTAATATACTTATTAGAAAAAAATAAATGTGAATTAATAGAAAAAACTAATTGGTTCCAAAAAGATGAATTCATGTGTCTTGAATTGCAGTTTTTTTTTAAATGAAGAAAAGCTTCTGTAAGACTGTCACTGAAAGACATAATTTGAAAATTATTTTTAATACAGCCTTTGTTATTTCCTTTTATATCCTTAAATATTATTTTCTGGTCATTTGTTTAACTTTTTACAGGCTTATTCCCCCTGTTTTTTCTACTTGCTCCAATTCAGAGTCTTCCACGGAAACTTTTTTCAAAATGGAGCCATCAGAAATTTCCGGTAGCTGTTTTCTAGCTGTTCTAGGAAGAGAGGTAAGCAAAGAAAATTACCATTTAAAAACACTTCACAGAAAAAGAATATTGCCATTTTCCACAAAAGAATATATTCAATGGAACATTGAAAAAAAAAAAAAATATCCTGGCTGTTCTTCAGTTGTCTTAAGAACAAAGAACAGGTGAGCAGTTGAAATGTGCCACCTGTGGAGTTCTGTGCTGAGCACAGCTTTCCCACTTGTGCCTCTTCTTCTGGAGCTGATGGTGGTCAGAGCAGTGTCTTGGTCTAAGTCAGCGCTAGGAACAGCTAGAGGAAATAAACTGTTGCTGTGACACCTTGGAATGAGAAACACAGCTTGATTAAGACTCGTGATAAATGCGGTCTAGTAAAGTTACTTGTTTGCATGCGTCACCAAGATTTTCCAGTATCCAAGCAGAGAGTGTCACCCGTAGGGATGGAGACTTCATTATAATTTGAATAAAATAGGTATGAATATGTTTCCTTCCAAAAGTAAGGCCTATGCAAATCTGGCTTGAAAGGCAGGGGGCTTTTGCTGAGTAAATGGAAAAGTCTTGGCATGATTCCTGAGGAAAGGCCTTAAAGGGCTAGTTTGCATCTCAGAGCATCATTTTCCTCTTGTGTCTGAGAAAAGTAAGACTTTTTTCACCAAAAGAGGAAGGGGAAGCTAATTAGAACTTCATTGAAAATTAAAGATATGAGATCTTATTTGGTTATTTGTACCACTTTCTGTCATACTGCAATTACAGTGCTTGAAAGAAGCCTGTGTCTTGGGGGAAATTAGAAGATTTTATTAAGGGAATCACACATGAAAAGCCTTTCAAGTTATCTATTACCAACCTCTTTTCTTTCCAATAAAAAATTTTTTTAACCTGTCTCGCTGAGCGAGTCAGTTTTAGTTAATCAGGCCGTGTACATCTGTCTACCATATTGTCTTTCTTCACAGAAAGAAACTCTTCTGTTTCAGGTAGCTGATTTGAATAATTTTTTAGTCAAATTCTAATGCACAGAAGCAATTGCTCCTATGGCCAATTTTTAGGTGGTTCTGGGAATGAACATTTTTTGCAAGGCAGGAGACGTGTACTTAAATTTCTGGTTTACAGAAGCCCTCTTCTTGGCTAGCTGGAAATAGCTTCTTCCCCTTTGCTTCTCCTTACATGCTTGGATGTTGACCTGCTTCCTAGTTAATCTAGTTTGGGAGTTCCTTGCTTATCTGTTATAAGCAAGGATTTTCATTATCATGAAAATTAATCACGTGTGATGTTATTGATAGTATTTATGTATCTTAGTAGCTATTTGTGAAACACATGCATACGTGTGTGTGTGTGTGTATATATATATATATATATGCATGTTGTTACAGACATGTCTCCCACACTGACTTCCTTTGTAACATGTAGTACAAAGTCCAGAATTGTTTCCCCTCTTCAGGCCTGCAGAGGGCAAGGTCTCTGAAGAGGAAATACTCAGATACCTCTTCACACAACAGTCGTGTTCTTAATTTCTTGAATAAATAGTTTGGTTAGCATTTATCACACGTGATTAGAGTCCTTCTGCTGGATTCTGCTGTAGTTTTCTCATGGAGTAAATTCGGAGGAATCTGGGATTAAAGTAGTGAGTCTGCAGTTCTGTGTTGTGGCTTAGACTCGTCGTTTCCTTTGAAATTTTCAGAAAGATTCTGCTGAAAACGTGCCCGTTAAAGACATTTTGGCTCGTGCCGCAGCAAAAGGACTACTAGGTGGCATTGTTCTGGAAAAATCAAATGAGGAGGCGAAAAATCAGAGAGTGACACAAGCAACACAACGTGGACGTAAGACTACTGGTGGTGGTGCAGAGGCGAGGACAGCAGGGTTCCTTCACCATCAACCCGTACCTAATGTTGAGGCTGAAGTTTCCGTGTGTAAAGCGCAGGCAAAGAACGTGAACCGCACGAACGGCTGCGTTCAGCCGAGGAAAACTATCGACCCCGCCGCGGGCCGAGCTCCGCCTCGGGCGCGGAAGCACACGCCTCACTTGTCACCCGTGGCCAAGGCCCACGAACGCCAGACCCGCCCTAGAAAGGCAGGTGCAGAAAGGAAGAGGCTTGTATTGAAGCCCGTGGAGATTGTTTTGCCTCCAGGGATCACGCCATACGGCAGATCGCAAAGAAACAAACCCAGGACGTCAGCCCTTCGCTGCGTCCGTGGCTGGACGGGGAGGATGTTTCCAGCACCCCTGTCCAAAGCGGTCAGGCCAGCGGGGCTGAGCTCTCCTCGACCACGGCTGTAAGAATCTTCCAACTCTGCCCTACCTTCACACAGAAGGTAAAGATTCCCGTATGTATTCATCAGTGCACTTAGATTACAGTAGACCTTTAGGCAGGATAATCTTGCTGTGGGAAAGAGATACATTATGGGATATTTGCATAGAAATATATCCGTATTAGTCATTTTTAAAGCAGTAATCACACTTTAAAGTGAACGCAGCCCAGCTGCATGAGGTGGATAGACCACTGAGGGCAGTGAGGTCAAAAAAACTACAGCTTCTTGCTGTACACTTTAACGTGACAAGTTAAAGCATACACTCCTCCCGCCTCACCCACGACCTGCACCGATCTGGAGGAATACTCAATTTCAAACCGATTTTTTTAAAAAGTGAGACTGCATTTTTTTAAGTGGCCATTTCTCTTTGCAAGTGCTAGATACCATGTAGATTGTGACACACGGCAAGTAAGCCTTGCAGAGCAAGCCAGCTAGCTCACCTTTATTTCTAAAACTAGATGTGAACTTTTGTACAGGCAACTGGCCAAGTACACTAAAGCCCATGCATAGGCTTTCGAGCACTTCCTCCCCTGGTTTCTACTCAGGTATGCTTCAAAATATTCACAGTGAAAACCAGATAAAATGTTCTCATGCTGAAAACGCTGAATTGTCATCATAATGTCATGTTAGACTGTGTCATGGCTTATAACTGCTTTTCACCAACTTCTGTAACACAAGCAGTTCTTAATTGAAAAGACTTGCTGCTGTCAAAGTTATTTTTATAAATGTTACTGCTAGTCAGCTGAATAATGACTGAACACAGAGTAGTTTGTCTTTGGGAACAGCTGTGGGCTTGTAACCCGTTCCCTCTTGCTAGCAAATACAAAATAAAGTAACTGTAAAATAGCTACAATTGTTTTATAATCTGAGCAGAGGATAAAAGTAACAGAGATACTTTTAACAATAATCTGAGTTAGTATTAAAACGGGGACAGTATAAAGAAGGAAAACGACAAACAATGACAGCAAGAGAAACCTTAAGGATTGTATTTAGATTAGAAGTGTAGAAATGAAACAAAGAAAGCATAGCCCTATAGAAGGGCAAAGGTAGCTGTGGCCCAGAAGAGAAATTTTCCTCAAGGCAATCATTTAAGATACTTGGCAAGAGTGTTGCCAATAGTGTCAACAATATAGGATGGAATCTTAACCTATGGGACACGTGAGTCTGGATGTAGATACAAACAGAGGAAATGTTTTAACAGCTCTGTTTTTTGCCTCACCCACACCGGTCACCGGTCGATGGATCAGCCCTACCTTTAGAAGAAAGGCTGTGAAGGATTCTACACCAGCAGCATGGACAGCTGGCTCTTGTGCATCAGATAAATACCTTTGTCTCACTGAAGCTGTGAAAATTTCTTTTAGAATTTTAATCTGGGTCAGGTGTCCTATTCAAAGGCATCACTCACCTACTGCATAGCCTCATGAATAACCCGTGCTCCTTACCTGTTCCAACAAAAGGATGAACTCTACTCTTGTTTCTGAACAAACTTGTAAGGACAGATCTAGAACTGTGCCCACGCAATGTATAGAACAGGAAAAAAAAAAAATCCCTATTTTATTTCAAAACCATCTTGGAGGAGGAAAGATTCTACATGTTAGATAAAAGGAATGGAGAGTAAGGAGATTTCTTTTTTTTTTTTTTTCAGTATGGTTGTTAAATGCTTAAACTTAGAGATGCTGCAGTTGGAGAACTAAACTCAATTTTTTTAAACTGAAATTTGTATAATTAATTATTAAATGTAATTAAAATTACTTGTAAAAGAACATGTATGTGGCTGATGATAGAATTTCTGAGCTACTTATGTAATATGCGTCATGGATGTCCCACTGTCGGCCTCATCTTGCTTTCAGGAGTTTGTGTCTTTGAAATATTCTGGAGGCTAAACCAGTTAGAATCTTGATGTCTTTCCGAGAATATCAAAGAGCTGGTAGTGAAGAATTTGATTCTGCAGGTCAGAACTTTGTAAGCACCGAACATCCCATGGTGGCAACGTCGGGGACTGACTTCAGAGGGCTCATGGGTAGGAGCCTATGCTCAGTTAGACACTTGACTTTTTACAGTAAAGCTGTATCTTATGTGACTAATTTTGTGTATTCCAGTTATGTATCTGTAATTTGCAACTAGAAAGTGTTGAGTCAGTTTTCCAGATACAGAAGTGCCCGTTGTACTGCTACCGCCTCTAAACCACCAGTATGTTTTTCCCTCCCCTCAACCACAATTTGGAACGAAAAGAAGTAATTTCCCAGTTTCATGGACCAGTAACAATTGAGACAATCGTTTTATGCAGCTAAATTTATTCTCAGAACAGATTACATTTAAATGTGGAGAAGTGGTCAACAGCAGGGAAAATTGTCCTTTTCGGTGTCAATCAGGTGCTTTATGTAAGACTTGAACTCTGCTAATAAACAGGGGGGGTGTTTCCTTCTTTCCTACCTGCTTTCGCTGACTGTACAGCACAAGTTTTAGCAATGTATTAATTAACCTGCCCAAGAGAGGAGCAATGGGCTTAATGGTAATGCTGAAAGGCTGAGCCCACAGTAGCTGTTGAAATAATAAAGGTCTTTTTTCCCACGGGTGATCTACTAACAATCTTAGGTCCCTACTTAAATGGTCTATGAAATGCTTGATAAAATGAAAAGAAAGGGATGTAGAACTCTTAGTGACACAGACCTGGTGTAAGCTAATAGATGCTCCACAGTTTTTGTTCCTCTGTCACGAAAGGGCATGTTGGTTCAGTGGGTACAGGTGACTCTGCACACAAAGTATGTGACTACGAACTCATTTTGCTGTGAATGGATTCTGTGCCCTTCCAGGCAATTTTTCTTACTCCTGTTTAACTACCCTGTAGCCTTGTATCTCCCACACTCCCTTCCTCCCCTTCAAATGAAATTGTAAGTGGCTTAAATAAACCTACAGCCAGCACTGCAGATTTCAAAAGAAAGGCTTTTATCTCTTAGTCGTTGACGGTGAATATAAATCGCCTTGCTTCTGCAAGGGAGCGTATTACTGACATGACTGACATGTGATACTTACCTCTAAGTTACTACTTGCATTGAAAAAAATTAAGAAATTAGCTTTGCTTTTACATGATTTTTCTACAGACTTCAGTAAAAACGTGACTACAAATAATTACAAAGCCTGCCTTCTTTTAGGCAACCTATAGTATACAGAGTGGAGAATGTTACAAGAGCACATCCAGTAAAGACAATACATCAACATAATAATGCAGGATATTTCAGTAAAAATAGAATAAATAAAATAAAAATATTTTAAGCTGTATTTAACAGGTTAATTTAAAATATGGCATCAGACCTACAAGGCATAGTGAACATGGCTGCCTGCCTACGGAATCACTATGTATTATAAAAAAATGCATAGGTGACTGAAGGGTCGCTAGAACATCAACTACAACAGTGGCAGTTGCTCAAACGCACACATCCCATACAGACTTTTTTGGCCGTGGTAAAAAGAGCGTCTTAACGTATTGTTTAACAAAAGATCACGGGCTTTGCAGTATAAGGCTCTGATTCTGCAAGCGCCTGGGTGTATAGTTAATCTTTTGGAGAATAAGGAGCTCTGCTAAAGCAAAAAGGCCACATCTAGTCAGACCATTAAGCACGCTATTTAAATATTTGCAAACTCCACAGCGTTTTGTCAACGGACACAAAACTCTTAAAACATAGAGGGGCAAGTGACCTACGGCTTTTCAAACACCTTCCTGCCTTCTCCTCAGCCCTTCCTGCGATCTCACACGCCGCTAGTGAAAGCCACCAGGATCTTCACAGCTTCGACACCACCAGTGTGGAAGAACCTTTCCACTGCTAAGTGTTGGTTTAGTTTAAAGAGAGTCCGGATCTCTCTCGGAGAGAATCAGCACTGTGCAGATGCAACTACAACATTGAATGTTGCTGCTTAAAAGTTGTAGAACAGTTGGAAATCCCAAATCCTGGCATTTCCAGCTGGGACTTTAATTAAAGACACTGCCAAAGTATTTTCCGTAATTTAAAATAAAATACAGTTTTAACCACTAGACGATGACAAAGGCGGCAACTTTTAGCTTCACAATCCTACCTGAGGGCACCTTGTTGTCAGCCACCACGTTTTGGTAGCAGCCACGAGAGGAAGGGAGTTTTCACACGGCTCCTGGCAGGTGCCACCGACATCAGGGCTAGATGCCAGCCGCCACCTGCGATCTGGGTGCAGGGTCAGGTTAACCCCCCGGCACCGCTACGAGGCGGCGGTTTGGCCGTGTCCCCCCACCTCCCGCGGGCTCCCCGCCTGCCCCGCGTACGCAGGGTCCCCCCCGGTGGTACCGGCACGGGGCTGGGGCAGGGGAGGTGCCGGGAAGGCGAGGGGCGGGGGGGGGAGCAATCCCTTCGGGTGCCGAGTGGCCGTCGTGGAGGGATTGGGGCCGGGTGGAGGATCAGCTCGTCAGAGGGCAGGCTAGAGAGCTAAACCTAACGACAGTAGTTGCATAGCTAGCCTTCTCCTGACACCTGCTCATACATCACGCTGACTTCAATGATTTTTCTGCAGTTTTCAATGCAGAAATTACTCGAATCATCATTCTTTTTCCCCTTGTGTTCCTAAGTTGCTTTGCCCAGGCCTTGCCATTAATTTCTTGAAACAAGGAAAGAAAAAGAAAATATTTTTTTTTTTGTAACAGTCTCTTGCATAGTAAAATAAAAAAAGAGTTCTTGTAATAACAATCTTACCAATGTTCTTTTAAAATTACAATATGACCAGATTTGCAGACTTGGGAGACTGATACAGTTTAGAACACACCTATAAATGGAGGCAAAACATTTTTAACACTAGTTAAAAATATTTTTACTGTTACATTTCCAAAATTTGTACCAATCTGCGCGCCTAGACAGAAGATGGCAAAGGGAAAGACTCAAGATGCATAACTGCATTTGAAAATCAGCCTGAGGTACAATTTTTAAGGGGCAATACTGGGCTGACTTTGTCAGGGTCTGCAGTAGTGTATAAATCAAAGCAATTAGATGAAGCTTTTGGAGCAAAAGCATTGAAATTGAATTTTACCACCTGAAGCACTGTCCTGTTAGAAAGCAACTCTCTTCTCAGTTTGTCACAAGAGCATTAACAGAAAATTCCATGGAATTTTATAAATAACAAGAAACATGACTGTTCTTTTTGTGGCATGTTAAGTATTCAGCAACAAACTCTTGAGGGGAAGGGGGAACTGTGCAACCAGACACTGAATGGAACATTTCATACAACAATTGTATGGAAAAGGTATGGAATATTTTAGTCTCTATAAGAGTTGTAAGACAATAAAATTACTGACTGTTTTTTTCTTACTCCTGACTGGTTTGAGCCCTGTGTGCAACAAATGGTATTTCTGATGAAATAATGACAGATTTAGGAGAATAAATTTAACGGCCAACAGTTGCATTTGTATGTTTAAAGCTGAAAAGCCTCAGTGGATCACCCTGCAACTCGATTACTGAAAACACTTCTGGATTTTTCAGCATTGGTTTGGTATTAAACACGATTCTTCTCTAAGACCATAACGTATGATCAGGAGATGAAATAATGACACCATGATTCAAAAGCATGTCAGGGAGATGTTAAAGTGGTTGCTAGACCAATGCTGACGAACAATTTAAAACTAACAGGTGTAGTTCTGTAAAAAATAAAACTTGGTATTTAATCTACAGTAATTCAATGGTAGCTAATACCTGGTACCTACTCCAGTGTTGAAAACAGAGCAAAGTGCTGTAAGATTTAAGATTGGTTTGTGACAAATCCAGCTCAAGACGGTGAAACTATCAGCTCGGGCATCATTCACTCCAAGGACTTTAGCACGAGTTCACTGGGAGGGACGTGGCCATATTCTTTTTTTTTTTTTTGTGTGAGTTTAGGTAATGTTCACGTATTTACAATCAAACAGACCTTCCATTGCTCATGGTGTAACTCACTGACAGGAAAAAAATTATTCATGCTTCTTTTCATATCACACGATGGTGGCAAGAACGAGAGAACATGCTTGTCTAACATTGTTTCGGTAAGGGTAAATTCTCTGAAGACAAAGCATCAGCAATTGGAAATGGAAGGCCAGGCATCGTCAGTTCATTTTTGTTAGTGTAGCTACTGTTATCTTCAGTTACATGTCAGGAGAATCTTCTCTCTTATGCAGCTATGGCATCTCAGTGACTGGGCGTTTCTGTTTCAAAGTGTCAATGAGGGACAACACTCCTCTTTTTACGTTAGTTGTAACTCTTCTAGTCACCGAGTCTGCAGGAGGTGGGGGTGGTCGGACTTTCTGTGAAGGAGGTCTGGCTACCAAGCACTTCTGATACCGTAACTGCAACAAAGCAGGAGCATTCTGCAGTCCTCACTGTATCCAATACTTTCACAGAGCATTTTAAAAACACTTTTAATACCTTCTCATTAAAAAGAGTCAAGCCTCCCTCCATTTTGGCTGTGACAAACAGCCCAGCTGAAGTTAATGAGACATTGGGCTGTAAATCTGTGGGCAGAAACTGTTCATTAACACACAAGGGATACTAAATCATATTAACAGGCCTTGGTAAACTGAAAAATAAGTTTTCTGGGTTCAGCTGTTCTTGAACAAGGATTATTTTCACCGCACTGTCACTGGGTTGTATAATACAACTCTGAACAAAATGTTTTCCCATCATTAGATAACCTGTGCAGTGAAAGAAAAAGATTTCTCACACAGATGTTGTAGAGGTTAGGAGGGAAGATGATTAAAGGGGCATTGTTCACTAAACAGGCACTTCAAACTTAAAAATGTCTGGGTTTTAATTGATTAAATATATCCGAATCCCAATTCCTATTCTTATCTGTTCTTTTTCTGTCTTGAAATTCCTATAATTGCAAATTTGGAAAGACAATTATTTATGGAGGCAGTGAAAAATCTAAGTGCTATTAGGCACCTCTGAAGAAGGTCACTTACCATACAAGCAGCCTGAACAGCTTCCGATACATTGCCTGCATTTGGTTCACACCAAAAAATGTGGCACTCAAAATGCTGGTTTCCTGTATCCATAATGAAGGCGAATGTGTGAACGTCCTTGCCTACTCCCATGAAGGACAGGAACCGCACACGACACTCCACCAGGACTTCCTCTTCATTCTGGTTGTGAATCAAATGACTGAGCGTCACTACTGGATATTCCGTGGAACTTTATGATCAATTTTAAGTTGATTATTAAACGGTGGGAAGGATGGACACTGATGCAGTATTGTGGAAATCTTTTTTAGCTATCTGCATACACCCAGTGTGCTCAGGCCTGGGCTGGATCTCCTCTTCTGGGCTACCACCAGAAGACCAAGGCTTTGAGCATTAGCATTGAGCAAGCATACAGTGCATTTTAAAAACTGCTTGGTTTATGAAGAAACAAAACACCATGGCTATCATGGCTCCAAAACATGCTCTCCTATCACTGGTGTGCTATAGAGATGCTGATTTAGTACCTCATCAACACCCGTATAAAAGACATTCTTTGAAAGTTTCATTGTATTAATCTCTGTGGAAAATGCTCTACAAAAGGACAATGATGTGAAACGCAGATTTTACTATTACTCTTGGCTTCCATACCAAGAATAAGGTAAATACAGTTTAGAATTTAGGATTGCTACTTAGGGCTTAACCCACAGCATTTTAGGCTCAAAATTCCTAGAAAGTATAACACTGAATTTGTTTTAAGTATCTAGTGAATACTTATAGTAATTTATTTCTGAGAAGATGCTTGGAATGGTAAATAAAGCTGAAGCTGACACAAGCAGTAAGAGCCTCTGCAGATTCTGTAAAGAACTAACATGCAAAATAAACAAACGGATTCTAGTGCAAATTAATTCCTTCTACTAGTGTTTCTGTGTTCCTGGTTTTCAACACTCATATTATGTTAAATGCATTTTAAACAAGACAGCCTTACTCGTTCACTAATGACCGTGACAGTAGCATCAGCAACGTTCATGGTAACTGGCATCCAGTCTTCTTTGCTAGAGGAAGCCATTAGACTTTCAATGGCACTGTTCAGAGTATCCATCCCTAACAGAGAAGAAAATGCAATAATGAAAAATAAATACAAAAGTAAACAATAACAACATTTTTATTTTCACATAGTGGTACAGAAAACAGGTTGTTTTGGACTCCACATTAAAATTAGTTTGATGGTGGAAGGAAGGGTCTTCTTCCTCTGCAAACACAAAACGGGTGCCTCTGGCTTAGAGAAAGCAGGATAGCATCTTGTTCAGCTGCCACGTCATTTCAGTTCTCTAGGGCCATTCTCATTAGTAGCAGAGCTCATATTCAGAGAAAGCAGCAGCCTCCTGCTTTGGGCTGGGATAGAATTAATTTTTCTTCTTAGTAGCTAGAATAGTGCTGTGCTTTGGATTCAGTATGGGATTTGGTATGAGAAGAATGTTGATAACACAACGAGGTTTTCAGTTGCTGCCGAGAGATCAAGGACTCTCCAACTCCCTGTGTCCTGGCCGTGTGCCGGTGTATGAGGAGCTGAGAGGGAGCACGGCCAGAGCACCGACCCAGCCTGGCCAGTGGAATATTCCATATCATGTAACATCATGCTCAGTATATAAAGGAGGGTAGGCCGGGAAGGAGGGAGCTCTCTCTCACTTCTGGGACTGTGACTACAGGACCCTGTTATTTTGGGATTGCCAGCCAGGAACAGGCTGGGTATCACTCAGCAGGTGTGAGCGATCATACTGGGCATTTCCCGTTTGTACTTTCTATTATTGTTTTATCTTATTACAATTATGAAACCATTTTTCTCTCAATCTATGAGTCTCCCTTCACCTCTCCAACCCCCTTCCCCATCCCCTGGGCAGGGGGAGTGCGAGTGAGCGGCTGTGTGTGGTTTGGCTGCTGGCCGGGTTCAAACCATGACAAGCAGAAAAAACCACTGCCTTCTTGGCAGCTCCCAAAATACTCTGGTTGCAAAACACATCTTCAGATGAGGCCCTGAATATTTGATGTCTTCATGCCTGACCCGTATGAAGCACAAGAGTTGCTACCCTTTGCAAATCATGCATTTATACTTGGCTAGCCGGAGTCCAGCCGTCAGAGTTTATGCAAGTTACTTTGGAAGTCACTTAAGTGATACATACCCACAGGTTTAGCTACAGGTAGCATGCCCAGGTACTGGACGTGGAACTTCTGCACCAGTTCTGTCTTTGGTGTTGGGAAATCTACTGCATGGGAACAAAAATCAATTTCTGTTAATCAGCATACACAGAAGTCAAAACCACTTTTATTTCATCAGTAACATAAACCAGTTTACCCAGTAGTTGTACTCTGAAGGTATTATACTGATTAAAAAAAATTTTTACTCCTTCTGACAAGAACAATGCTCAATAATTTCTAAAGGAATTAGAGATAACTTTGCATGACTTGATTGTTGATCAATGCTAAGAATAAGGTCACATTATATTGCTGGCATATTAAAAACCAGAAAATATATCTGAATGTGTCTCTGAGACACACAGACCTAAGTTTCACTGTGTAACTATGTAAAACCTGGAATCTGTTTTTGACACCATCCCTGTTAATACGTTAAGCACAGCCTATGAGTATTTGATACTACTGTCTGAGCAGACAATTACACAAGCTGATGTATGAATCAGGAGTAAGGTACTCAGTACAAACTGGTGGATCTAAAAGCATATAATTTCCTGTAAATCTAACACAAAGTAGGTTCTCTTGGAATACTTTCAAAATAACAACTCTTAAGCTATGACTAATAAAGGTATGCAAAATAGAGTGTACAAAAGACCCTTTAGTTGGATGATGACCCACTTGCACCCCCTTGCCTTGGAAATTGTTAAAATAGATGCTGAAACCTAGAAGGAGTCCTCCTACAGCTCCTCTGAATCCAAGTGACTAACTGGAGTATATTTTTAAATAAGATTTGGTCAACTTGTGCAGTCTCAAATTAGGAGGTATTTTGATTTGAAAAGGACAATAAGTGAAAGTAGACATAAATAAGTAAGACTGTGTTTGCAACATTTATATTTCAAAATAAAAACGGAAATGCACAAGTTGACATAACTGAGTAGGACTCCATTACTGTCATAACTAATAAAAATGTTTAACATAATACAGGAACAGGTTACAGTCAGATACAGTAATTAAAAGACAGGATTACCCTTCTGACCTCTCCAACCACCATGCTCCATCTTGGTCAAAAGCAGCAGCAGAAACAAAACATATCTAAAATAGGACCGTGCCAAGGATACTAACTGTAACACAGAGTACCTTGCAGAGGAACATCAAGGGTGACGTTCGTCCTCTCTTGCAATGAGCTGCAAGCCATGGCTTTAGCATTCTTCCGTTCGGCCATAATCTGAAGAAGACAGCGATAATACAGCATTTTTTTAAAAAAATATAGTACAGTAGCAATTAGAAGTATGAATTTACTCCTATTACAACCCTAGTTTCTCAACTCTGAAATAAGTCAGAAGCTATATGAACCGGTTATTCTTTTTAAATAACAACTTTAATTTTCCTCCAGTTTATTCACCATTCCTTAGCTACATAAAGAACTTAAGTGGTGTCCACTAGATGAGACATGGGGGAGGAAAAAAAACTCTAGCTGTTTTTATCAAGAGCAAAATTGCAGTGAGGAGTAATATAGCAAGAAACATAAATATTTAACACGCAGAGAAAAGCGTTCATTATTCATGTTCCTTTCTGATCTATCTTCTGCTGTGTATAATTTTTTTCTTCCGTTTTTATGTTTCTCTTGGAATGAAAAATCCCACGCAAAATACAACCTGCTCTTCCACCAAAATGTATATTAGCAAAAGAGGAAAAAACCAACCCACTTCAAAATAACCACTTTGGATGATTATTCCCTACAAATATATGACTGAGAAGGGACCCAGGGAAGCTACAGAGGTTTTCCACAGCTCACATATGAAGCATTGCTATTTGCTTCTTTACTCTATGACTGTTAACAGTAATTAAGCTATAAAGATAACTGGTGTTCCAGCAGATGACACTTCATCTGAAGACGCTTCTAGCAAGTTTCTCCCTTTTTTTTTTTTTTTTTCCAGGTTTTATATTTTGAAAGTATTTTCTGTTACAGGGCCACATGATAGTATTCGCCCCTGAAGATGAAAAATGATACACACTTGCTTAGGAAGAAGCCCTGCCTCAGCAAAGAGGCCCAGCGTGTCAGTTAGCACATGCCAAGTGCTTCCCTGAATCAGGATTACATGTATTGCTGAATTCTGAAGGAACATGCTCTACTTAAGAACACTATCCTGTTTTATTCTGTGTTATTATTCGCTATGGCTCTATGGCTTTAAACGCTTAGTTGCTCTTTTATCCAAAATTAATGCCAAGAGTTTCACATTATAGTTACATATGGGACAGCTCAACTCCCCTTCCGATACCCCTGCCTGTAGCTACTGGGGCATTTACTTGATGTTGACCTTACTGGATAAAAGCAGCTGTGGTAGGGCTGGTGTAGCACGTTTTTCCCCGCTAGACTTGCCAGAAACTGCACAAATTGAGAGTTGGGAGGAGAAAGAGGAGGGACATAATAGGTCTAGGCTTCTGCTGCAGTCTCTGGTGCTGAGCCTCAGCAGGCACAGCCCGCAGCCCCCAGGCCACCCGGAGCAGCTCCCTCAGTCCCACCAACCCGCGTTTCCTCAGGCACCCAGGCCTGGACAGACCTGCCAGGCCTCACACAGCGGCTGGGCTACCTTCTGCCCCGGGCAAAACGCCGCTGCCCAGCAGGTTACAGAAAGGCACACTGTGTGAATGCTCACGGCGTTTGCAGGAAACGTAGCCACGTCTGCGGTGTTGTAAAAATGAAAAATCTTTGGGCTATACAACGGGCTACAGAAGGGGATCTGCACCACAGGAAAAGTGGGCTGTGGGGATGAATAACCTTATCAATTATCCATCTGTAACTTGTCCCTCCTCGTGAGTCCCGGCTCTTCCAGAAAAGCTAGTTAGGAAACCATCAGGTTTTAAAATTCTGCTGATTTACTGTATGCCTGTCATTTGCTTTTTGCATTCTGTCTTTGTGTTAATGAATGGAATCAGTGATGTCAAACTGACGTGTTTTAAGGAAAACCAAAATGAGCAGCATAATATTTTTAAAAAGGGGGATGTAGCCTCAAAATCCTCCACAACTCAATAAAAGAATAAAAAACAGTTTCAAGTAGACTGGTTTAACTGCTTCGCTATAAAGTTTCAATCAGATTTGCCTGCTGCAAAGGACGTGCTGCCTTGCTACCGCTGCAGGAAATGACTGTATAGAGGACGCTTATGAACTGATCAAGCAAGAAAACCAAAATTAATAACCAGGGAATGGTGGCAAATCTGTAAATTAAAACGACTGAACAGTCCTCTCCAGTATTACTGGAGTACTGGAGTACTGGATTACACCACCACAAGCAGGAACTAAGATCTGTTAGTATTTGCAACTAGAGTAACTTAAACCCTCTCTTTTTCCTGATTTCTTTTAAGTGGGCAGAATAACATTAGCAACTATTTTTCTGTCTGTCCTGCAGGATAATACCATTAAATAATACCATTCAAACAAGGTCTGATTTATTTATAGAGTTTAACATCACCATTTATTATTAATTGAAGTCGTGAGTTCTTTTTCCATTTTGAACCCGCAGCTTCTTTATTATTTAAGAAAACCTTCAGTCTCTATACACACTTGTAAAATCAAGAGGACATAAAATCCTCCTCAAATCTAAATGCTCACCTTCCGATTACTCCCATCCATTTGCATCCTTTCCTTTACAAACTCTCTACACCATTTCTCATTGCCAGTCATATAAACTAAACTAACACTGCATACAATGCTGATTGTATGTATTAGGCTCAGGGACCTCTAAACAGACGAATGCAGGTGACTTTAAATCCACTTGCCTTTGAGCAGATTTCATGTAAACTTGTAGCGATGGCTTTTGCGGGCGTGTCACATCGAAACACATGACATTTCAGAATTCTCGTGTCTTTGTCTCTTGCCACATAAGCGAAGTCTCTGTGTAAACAAAATAAATTAACACATTAGAAGCAAGCAGAATAAATTAAGGCATTAGAATCAGCACTATCTCCAAAACAGCAAGTCCTGCTTCAATTTAACAAGTGTATGTCTCGGCTGCCTTAGCCAAGGCAGATCTACAAAGGTAATAAACTGCATACCCATGAAACACACATCTAGAATATGGTGCTTATCTATATAATTAAGGAGCTCATTACAGTTTCCTAACCCAGGCAACTTACTGAACTTACAACCCGTAATTCCAACGGCAATTGTAAGTACAAGGGAAAATTTACTCAAATATTTTATTGAAGATGAAGAGGGGACAGAATTGCAAATTAAGACAGAAAACACACGCAGCTCTTAAATGCTAAAACATCTGAGAAACAGCATACAAGATCCTTGTTAGAGAAAAATCATCCTTCAAAGGACTGTATAAAGTGTTTAAAATATTCAGATAGTAATTAGAGATCTGGTTGCATAAGGGAGATGCTAACCTGCTGAGCTTTGCTCACACTAATTGGCCTAAATTTCTGACCTTATTTTTTCAAAAGTTAAATAAAGCTGCCCTACAAAAGAGATTTTTGCACCGTTCTGGCTAGTCACCATGGCATAGCATAGCCTTCAAGCATGGGTAATGGAAGTGCCAGAATTATGTTTATATGTTCTCAGGCTGTTTAAACGTTGGAGCTCTTCTGAAGAAGTCAAAGTGGCATTCTGAGTCGGGAAGAATCCTTGCTATACCAGACTCTCTGCTCGCTAGTCTTGCACCTCTGCTTTTTCATGTCCTCTGAACAACCACAGTCCAGGCCTACTTTGTGACCCTCCTGCTACCTCCACATTTATTTGGAACTTCGCATCCCTAGCACATCTGTGTGGAGTAGCTAACTAGAATTAGATCAGGCAAGTGAAGCTGGGGCTCCCAACAACCTCTTATGCCTGAAGTCTCTTTTCAGTGCTTTTCCTCTTTACACGTAAATAATTACCAACAAGACTCTAACTGGTGAAGAGACAGGAAGGATATTCCTAAACCACAGGTTTTATACACAGAAATACTTCAGTCTATGCTAAAGTCTGTAAATATTCCTAGCAAGGTTTAATGTAGCATGGATTGCCAATGTCTCTGTTCACTGTAGATGCCCAGTGAATACAAGAACTTTGTACTGAAGTTATGTAGGGAGAACCAGAGACTGTGGCAGATGGATGGCTCGACTTCCAGCTCTGTACAAGGTATGAACACTGTCCTGCAGTTACCTATCTTACCTGTATCCAATTCAGCAGCACTAGATTTTGTCATTAATGAGTCCTTGCAATGAAAGGGGCGGCTGCCCACAGCCTGGGCTGCTCAGTGACAGGCTCGGGTTGTTGCTCTGTTTAACCACTTTGCAATTTGAAGCCTGACGAATAATGCTTAACACCACCCCCCCAAAACTATCAGCAGCTGAGACTTGGAAACAGTTCCACACGACAGAACCACGCAGACACACAGCGGAGCTGGAGGCACCTCTCCATCTTGCTGCATCCCAGCCTGCGATGGCACAGCACGCCTGAGGGCACGGCAGGGGCAGCACGTGGAGTGTGGTGCCCCCCGAACCCGCCCTGCCCACACCGGCACCCTGGGGAGGGACAGAGTTTCACCCAATTGCTCGTGACTCGTAGGGAAAAAAAAAAATAAAAAAAATCACAAAGCAATAATCCAGGAAGGTGCTGTCTATTACAGAAGATGCCTTCAGGTTTCCTAGCTCCAGCCTGATCCCCAAGCACCTTGGCCTCAATCTGCAAGAACCTTTTGGCACGTTGCTCCCTTCTGCTGCACTTAAAGTTCATGGAGATGCTGAGTTCCAGCTGGAACCTTGCTCCTGGAAAAAAGCTGATGCTTTTTGGCTCATCTGTACATGTGCCAAGCCTTGCTTTTGAATGGTTTTCTTCTAGGTTAATGTTTCAAAAGCAAATTGAATGCTCCTTGCTGGACTGTAGTAATAAGACTAAGAGAAGAAGGTATGGCTCATCTATGGCCTATGAAAAATTAGCAGCTGTGGGGAAAAAAATTAAACTGAGCACCACATAGAAAACCTTTTGAGATTTTTGCTTTTTGAAATAAGCTTTTACCATTACTGATGGTCCTGAAAAACCTGCAGAGCAGGTATTTGGAAATGCTCAGGCTCACTGAGGTCCCACACAGAATATCCTGAGCTCTCAAGAAACCTTGCCTGGTTTGAGAGCTGTAAGTGAGGAACTTTCAGACATCCTAAGCATTTAGGATTTTTGTTTTCTGTGTGTTAGGCTTTAGCCACCGCCCTTTAAATGCCCTGAGTTTCAGATTTCACATTTTGGAGTTCAAATACCTTCCCTTACAAATATTTGTAACTGCAACATGAAAACATTGTTTACTTAACAGTCACAGATTTGCTACCATAACTTCATTAAGATTTCCCCCCTTTACATGTAAGGAAAACTTGCTGGCAGACCATCACTGCAGGGTAGCAAAGACACGTAAACAAGCAGACTGCTGTGCACACCTTATTATTGGATCAAGGTCTACTGTTTCAGAGTGCAGACATAACAGCTGAATCCTGTGTTTGCATTAACTTAAAATAACATTGAAAGCCATCTATGTGACCATTACATATTTATTAGCCCCATTTACAAGCATTTACCTCAAATCAACACTATTCTTTTGAGGACTTGTAAACAAGTGATTTATGCATTCCTTTACAAGATGATCCTAGGAAGAGCATCCAGTGTTGTTTTGCCAAGTTGCCTGCACTGCACAGAAGCCCATTTGAATAAACAGAAATTTGCACAGCCCCAGGAGCACTGTACAATACTAGGATTTCTAATTATAAAGCAGCCACCTTCAACGAGCTACACAAATGAAGAAGATAACTTGCCCTTTCTGTTAGCCATACAGCTATCTGTTAGAACCTTCTTTTATCGTTAATAAAAACTAAGATGGGACAAAGCCACCAAAGCAAGTCATCGGGGCTTGGAGGACATAACACGTTGCCAGCAAAACTCACCTGTAACAGCCCAAGAAATTGTGGTCCAACTTTTGATCAGTAGCTCTGGCAATGCCCTGGCGCACCACAGCTGCCCCAATAAACTCCCGTGCTTTGCTGTAGGAGACCGCATCAGGCAGGGCATCTCCACTGTGCTGCCAAGACCCTGATGCACGCAGAGCCCATGAGGCCACATTACATTTCACCCTGCAGAGGGTTTATCTGAGACCCAAGATCAACTGCAAGGATTTTCAGCCTCAAGGGAACCTGCAAGCTTAAACACTGCATGCGTTTAGTCAGCATGTTATCTCCCTCCCAGTGGAGGTAGGACTCAAAGGACTGCTGAGATAAAAAGGAGCCGAACAAATAAAACTGTTAAACTAAAGGCTGAATTCTGTCAGGATCAAAGATTTTGGTCATAAAAGAACACAACTCATAATTATGCCCCATAAGTGGGAAACACCTTAGACTACAGTATTTTCAACAGCATTTTAAAGGTAGAGACGAGGACTGGGGGCAGTCTGCTGAGCCTCGTTTCTCTCACAAGCATGTATTTACTTCTCTGATCAAATGAGGCCTGTGGGGAGGGCAGCACTGACACTAACAAGCCCAGGTGCTTTTCTGTAAGAACATTTCTCTGTTTCTGGAAGGCTAATGACAGCCAAATGAACGAGCCACCACACAGCGCAGCTCAGGAGGAGGCTGGTGAATGTTATGGATGCAGTATCTTTAGCGTGACGTTCCAGGTGACAAGGGTGCTCACTTGCCACTTTAGTCATGCCACATAAGTTCCTGCAACCTTGTTGTCCCTGCAAGAGAAAGATAACAACAATCCTGATGAGATGAACCAGCTCTGTACTTGCCAAAGGGCAGATACTGTCCACAAATATGTTATTTTTAGCCAAAAAGCAATGTGTTGATTTTCTGATGGAGCCGGTAGTGACCCTAAATATAAGCCACCTAACACCACCCTCCACAGACCACTGCAGGATGTTTATTTATTTATTTGTTAAATGGTTTGGGTTGGAAGGGTCTTTTAAAGATCATCTAGCCCAACCCCTCCTGCAATAATCAGGGACATCTCCAACCAGATCAGGTTGCTCAGAGTCCCATCCAACCTGACCTTGAACACTTCCAGGGAGGGGGCATCTAAAACCTCTCTGGGCACCCTGTGCCAGTGTTTTACCACCCTCATTGTAAAAAATTTCTTCCACATATCTAGTCTGAATCTACCTTCCTTTACTTTAACACCGTTACCTCTTGTCCTATCACAACAGTCCCTGATGAAGAGTCCCTCCCCATCTTTTTCTGTAGGCTGCTCTAAGATCTCCCTGGAGCCTTCTCTTCTCCAGGCTGAACAACCCCAACTCTCTCAGCCTGTCCTCATAGGAGAGGGGCTTCATCCCCCTGATCGCCTTTGTGGCCCCCCCTGGTCCCACTTGAGCAGGTCCATGTCCTTAAATTGGGGGCCCCAGAGCCAGACACAGTGCTCCAGGGGGGGCGTCTCGCCTCCCTTGACCTGCTGGCCACACTTCTCCTGATGCAGCCCACAATACGGTTGGCTTTCTGGGCTTTAAGCGCACATTTGCCAGCTCATGTCCAGCTTTTCATCTACTAGTACCCCTCAATTCCTTCTCGGCAGGGCCACTCTCAATCTCTTAATCCCCCATCTGGTATTGATACCAGGCAGGGGGGGTTCTTCTTGAAGAAATGTTGACGCCTCTGCTGTTTGCATTAAGTGTCCCGCATGTGGCCTGGAAATCCTTGAGGCTTTGTCCTGTGAAATTCCACTCACATTGAGTCACCTTGAAGGAGTACGAGAAATATCACTTCCCACCTGTGGAGGTGCTGGTGGGTGCCAGGAAGGCGCTGCTGGGGGCACCTGGCCCACCCCTTGGCTCAGCAAGCGCTGCCTCAGTGCTGCCGCGGCGCACGTAACGCTTCCGTCGAGCCTCTCTGGCACTTGGTCCTGTGGCTTCTGTAAATATTTCTGCTTGCAAT